TAAGGAAATCTCTTCAGTGATTGGTCCTTGGCTACAATCCAAAATCCTGTTTGCGGCAGGCAAAGTGTCGTAAATCAGCATTAAGAGTGACACTTAAGATTTAGTCCTACACTTCACTCAAATTAAGACAATGATCCTTGATAACTAACTTTTAAGCACAGCTTTGAGCTGAAATAATTAAAAAAGTAACTTTTTTATGAGTAATTCTGAGAAGCTTGATAAATACGGGCCCAGGTGTTTCAATTTTAGTAACATCTTTGGCTCTATAGCTAGCACAGTCATTTCGATACAACTGTGTGCCCGCAACCGACAGAGAGCAGAGGAGAGAGGCAGGCTGCAAAGAAAGACACGCCAATGAAAACAAAATGTAGCAATAAAGACCCTTATAATGCTATGGAAAATGTTGTTTTTCATTTTTTGGAAGCATTCCACAACTCTGTGATTAACAGCTGATTCCATTTTTTTTTTGTAAATTTCTGCAGGAGCCCTACATAAGCCTTCTTGATGTGAAAAAAACCCCTCTCTATATTCACCTTCAATACATACAGTATGCAGTTTAAGCTGATTGCATAACAAAGTCGTCTGTGCGAGTGAACTAAAGCTGCAGAGTGGCAACCGCGCCGCCTACAGTCACAAAATACGATGGTCACAGAATTTGATGTTACACCAGATCCTTACCTTTCCTAAAGCGCAGCAAGCCGACATATCGCTGCAATAATCCTGGAAAATAAGGCAAGGTGAAAGCGGCTAATGTGTTTGTGAGAGAAAGGGGTCATTTGTGAGCATGACCCCTGCTGGATTTTAAGACTCAGACATACAGCAAATTGTTTAAAAATAAAAAAAATAACTTACCCAAAATAAAATGAACTTCATCAGAAAGAAACAGTAGAGGATTGTGTGATTCACTGATGTACTAGACACTGTCATACCCAAGACAAAGGTAGCCATCATAATATTCACCCGGGCTGCTATTCCTGAGAGACAAGAGAAGGAAAGAAGAGCATGCCATCTAAGTTCACCCCAGCCAAACCACTGGATCTGGGCCTCCAAACCAAGATTGGTCCCCGAGATCTCGCCCTGCTCCCTCCCCCATGACGAGTGTAGCTGTCCCCAACTATCCAAACAGTTGGACCTGGTAATAAGATAGTGAATTACATATACCTCTAATATATAACAGCAATGTTAACAAAAGAATAGGATACGGTTAAGGTATTATTTATTTCTGCCATATCTGATACTTTAATTTCTTTAGTCCTCTTAGAGTGAGACGCGTACTTTTCTGTACAGATTCGGTTTGGTATAGTGCCTTACCTGTAAAAATGTAGCTGCATTGTGTTATGTGTGATTCCAAACATCTGCGAGGAAAGAAAAAAATGAATAAAAAAGGTAAGTTCATATGTAGTCCACACAAGTCACCACCGATGCAGGCTCGGTAAAACAGGCAGAGCGAGAACACATCCGGGTATTTGACTGTACTTGGCTTGATGCAGACTTTTGAATTGGAACAGTACTTTGGCTGCAACTGATGATGTTTCACAAGAAAACAAGAACACAAGTACAGACAAGAACGCAGATTGAGAAACAGCCTCGGACTAACGAGACCAGGCTCCTATCTAAATGAATTGGGAGAGCCAGAACTGCACTTTTCTGAAATATGATTCCCGCTTTGGCTGTTAAAAGCAGACGACTGTCTTTCTAGAGGGAGGGGCGGGATAACGGCCATCTTTGCCGTTACGGGCTTTCCCCATAGACTTGTATTGAGGATGTTATTGAGTGGCGTGTCTCCTCTAAATTGTCTCTGGCGCAGTAGACCCTTGTGCCAACAGGAAGTAGCCCTGTAGTAGTATTTCATTGGTCCAAAACTGGCTTCACTGCTCTCCATTCAAATCCGTGGGGTGGCTTCCTCCAGTAATATTCTGTCTATGGGTTAAGCACATTTTACAACAATATCTTTTCTGCCTCAAAACCGAATTCAAATTTAATTTATTTATTTTTTTATTAAAATATGTGATGATTCTTGGGCCAGTTCTTGAGTAACGTAATATCCCCCCCCTTTAATTTCTAAATGGATTTACGGACGTTTATTCACGATAGATATTGGAGGTTGCATTTAATGAGTACACACAATGAGAACTGCTGAATGTCCTTTTCAAGCCCAAACTGTGACCAGCACCTGGAAATTATTGCTGTAAATCTATAATACTAAAAAAAAATCAATCCAGGGTCCCACTGTAGTAACAAAATATGTTTTATTTTACATTTGGTGGATGCTATATACATATTACTCACCTGTATAATGCCCTTTAAAAACAGATAAATAAATCAGGCATTACAACTCTGGGACAAGACAAGGCGGAAGAAAAGGAGAAAGCATAATCAGGGAGAAAAGTAGTGGCATTAGAAATGTTACAGTAGGTGTTAAACAACTGCCCACACATCCTTTACATCCAATAACATTCATTTACAGTGTACAGTATTTACAATAACACCTTCATTAGTCCAACGGCACACACTCATTGTCACTTGTCTCTCAATGGGCTCTGTTGGCTCTGATTATAACGAGGGAGGGAGGCTCTTCATTTACCCAACTGTAGTTTTGCTCATTTTCACCCATTTATACACCACCCACTTTGCTTCTAGTTAACCATTAGTCTTCATTATGGAAGGATGATATAGCTAACATATTTCATCACATTATGTAAAAACAACCAGATGAAAACATCTTAAGTCCCAGACAAATCAAAGTACAAAATGTACCAATGTATGTGGACAAGAAAACATTATAGCCATGTGATTGCTGAACATGTCAGGCTTATGGGGAGGCTTTCTACAAGATACTGGAACCTGGCTGCAGGGACTTGCTCCCATTCAGAGCCTTAGTGGGGTTGTTCTCAGATGTTATATGATGAGAATGGGCTCTCAGTCGGTGTTCCACTTCATCCAAAAGGTGTTGGATGTTGTTGAGGTCAGGGCTCCAGGTTTATTGTCACAATATAACAAGTTATAGAGTGAAATTGTGTTTTCTAACTCCCTACTGCTACATAGCAGACAATATACATCAATACATAATCAATTATGAAAAATGAATTAGAGTTTAAGAGTCTGACAGCTTGGGGGGAAAAGCTGCTCTGCAGTCTGGCGGTGCGGCAGCAGAAACTTCTCTCTTCCCAGAAGGCAGCAGGTTGAACAGGCTGTGGCTGGGTGGGTCCTGTACTTTAGTATCCTTTGGGCTCTGCAGGCACCTCACCTCACAGATATCACTGATGCTCGGGAGATGGGTACCAGTGATCTTTTTTTTTTAATCACCCTCTGCAGAGCCCTCCAGTCCTGGGCCGTGCACATCCCATGCCAGTTTGTGATGTTTTCAGTCAGGATGCTTTCTATTGCTCCTCTCTAAAAGCTGACAAGAACTTGGCACAGGAATTTGGCCTTCTTAAGCTTCCTCAAGAAATAGACTACACCAAACTGGGAGAAATGGAAATGCCCATGAAGAAATGGAAAACTATTTCTTTATGTGCTGGGGGCCTTGTCATGTTCAAACAGGAGAGGCAGACTGTTGTCTCAAATATAATTGTGTGGTGTAAGATTTCTTTTCATTGGAACCAATAGGAAAAACAGACTAGTGTGACCATATACAGTATTTCAGACTGTTAACTCAATATTACCATACATTTTTACACCTTGCTTAATGGTGACAAAAATCCAGTTTCCCAGAGGTGATGTCTTCAAATATATTTGTTTGTGTTTTTTGTTTTGTCTGACTAACAGTCCACAAGCCAAAGATATTCAAAATACAGTATGCTAAACTAATTTGAAAGCTATGAACAAAACAGTTTGACATTTTTGCTTAAATAGAAATTTAAATGTAAACTTTCCAAATTGTTGCATTTTTGTCAATTTACTAATGAGTTATTCAGTTGAAAAACTCATTAGTAAATCGTTTCAGCTCCATACCCAAAAAATTATAATGTTCACTGGAATGACGGGTGACAGTCTGTGCAAATTTTATTGTAATAAAGCTTTGCGTACGTTCAGTGCGAATCGCCGTGAGCCGCCTCCACCCTGTTCACCTCCAGTTTCATCACTTCCAGTGCCCGGGTCTGAGCTCACCAGAAGCCTGCTCCTCTTCACATCCATTCTCTTCATCCCATCACCACCTCCACCAGTATATAAACTCCATCAAGGGGGTAATCCTGGACTACTCACAGCTTCACTACCCCTTAAAAATATGACGGCATCATGATGGGCTCTAATTGCCAAAGACTATTCATATTCTCATCTTTAATGTGCACATGTCAATAAAATTATTTGTTCACTCTTAACAAAGTCTCTCCTGAACTGAAATGGATGGAAACTTCCAGCAGCCTGGAAGACGGGCTGTGTATTGTTTGAAATTGTGCCAATATGTTCCTGTGAAAGCCAGGAAGAGCTCCATTTTTATTTTTGTATTTTGTGCACACATGTTAATGTGATGAACAAAAATTACTAACGTGCATGAAAGACGTTCATATCGTATGAGCACAAGACAATAGCTAGGAAAGATAATAATCTGTTTACAGAAATCCTTAATTTAGGTATTTTTAAAGCAAAAACATGACATTGCTGGAGCTTCCAGTTTTGGACAGCTGGGTCAGACAAAATAAGAAATTTGAATACATCACCTTGGGTTACAGAAAACTCTGAAGGGCATTTTCCTCTAGTTTTTGACATTTTATAGACCAAAGAATTATTAGATTAATCGAGATCAAATGACACACATTTTAATCTCTTTCATCACAAAACAGCTGTAAAAGACCCCTGAGCAGACTTTAGATACCAGCTCTGGGGACTAGAGCTGAGAAGATTAGCTTATTTATTTATTTATTTGTTAATTGATACGTTTTTTCAAAAGACTGACTAAAATGTTTGGGGTCTCAATTGTGAGCTTTTCTAAATTATCGCTATAAATTGAGTATCTCTGACTTTTTGGATTTACGGTCGGATAAAAAAAACAAACTCTCTGGGAATTTGATGAACATTTTTCTCCTTGACATTTTATAGAACAAATGATTAATCGATTAATTGATAGATTATTCTTTAATGAAAGAGAACTGTTGCAGCTTTAGTCTTAAGACAATACAGCTGTACAAGAACTTTCCCTAAATATATTACATTTAGCAAAATGATGACTTAAAGAAAATATCTAATCCAGAATAAGTTATCGAGGCTATAATTCTGACCAGACCAAACTTTTGGTATTAGACAGTATTTGATACCGCATACTATTGACACTTTTAGGTTGGTACAACCTGGAAGGTAAGAAAAGTATTAAAGAATCTAACACAAGCAAAACAGAAGGTCCTCTGTCCAACAACAGGAAAAGAACTGAGAGTGGGCTCCAAACTGTCCACCTCCAACGTCCCTTCACAGAGCAGCCAGCTCCTGCAGCAGCCTCTCCTTCTCCTGCTGCAGCTCCACGATGCTGTGCTTGTTCTGCTCCAGCCGGTCCTCCAGCCACTGCAGCAGCGGCCCGCTCACCGCCGACATCTGGCTGCACAGGTTCTTGGTGAACACCGAGCCGTTGTGGATCTTGGTGACGGGGTCCAGGTGCGCCAGGCTGTGGATCTTGCGGTAGGTGTCCTGCTCCTCCTGGCACAGGATCCTGGGTAGCTCCACGGCCGACTCCAGGCACACCTTCCCGATGGCTTCCCGGGGCACGACGTGGATGGGGATCTCCACCCGCTCGTACTCGGAGCCCTTTTGCGCCTGCACGGACTGGAAGCAGGTGTACAGCACCCGGCCCGTCTTGGTGTTCTTGTCCTCGATGAAGCAGGAGAAGATGAGGCCCACGAAGCACTGGTCCAGCATCTGGTACATGGCCTGGGTCCTAACGTCGACGTGGGAGGGCCACACGGTGATGTGCGGGTGGGAGTGGTACCAGCCGACAACCCGCATCGGCCTGCCGGTGATGTCGGCCAGCCTCTCCGCCTCCGTGGAGGCCGCCGACAGCTGCTCGGGGGAGATCTCCACCCGGTCCTTCCTCTTGTCCGAGCGGCGGAGGATGATGACGGAGTAAATGTGGACGATCCGGGTGGTTTCCACCTCTCCGATGCACAAACCCATCACCTCTTCCTTCTCCGTGCTTAACGCGTGATTCATACACACCAGAAAGGCATCTGACTCCAGGTGCACGGCGCTCACTGCCATAATCTCTGACAAATTAAGTTTCTATCCAGTGCCGAGATGAAAACATAAACAGGGGTAGCGCTTCACTTCCGTGTTCTGAAGTGCTGCACCAAAACATTCCGTGTTGGCGCGGCGGGGGCTCTTACAAAGACAAAAGGTTCCGCTCAGTTTGAGTGTTATAAAATGTCTACATATTTATAATCATAGGTGTCATTTACACAGGAGACGCTGGGGACATGTCTCCACCATTTCTTTAAAGCATAATGTTCAAAAAAGTTCTGAAATATAGAATGAAAATGCCTTTAGGAAGGTTTATTTGCACATTAAGAAAACATGCAATGCAGAAGAAACAAATGTGCATTGCCAAAAAAAAAAAAAGTAATGTAAGCTAAAATAAAAACAAGCTACTGATTATAAAATGACCCAAAAACGTGCAGCACCAATAAGTAACTTTAATAACTTCTTGACACAGTTTCTTTTTGGCCAAGTTTTACATTCTCTCCCTGTGAACATGATGAACGAGTAGGAGAGACTAAATCATGCCTACATGTGTGTTGCCTCAGCAGGGATGATATTAGATGACAAATTTGAAAGCAACACAGAATGCCTGAGAGCTGCACCGCAGTATATTCTATTACATTTATATATTTTGTGTTTCCTTTTACATAAATAATAACATTTCCACCATACATTGGTGCAGAAACTTTCACCAGAATGCAGGAAAGTAAGTGTTTAATGATCAAAATTTCCTGGGGGAGGTCCCCTCAGACCCCAGCTCATTTATCTCACCATCAAGAATCTATTCGTCTTGTTCTCAACCTAATATAGATATAGTGATGTCTCGCGAGCTAAGTGTCTCTTCACACCCCTAATCTGAGCCCCTATGTCCCCAACACTTTTCAACACAAAGTGACACCCTTGTTTTTAATAGGTGTGACTGGACGTTATTCTGCTTATGTTTTCATGGTATGTGTATTTAAAGACATTTATCGTAAAGGTAACCTTGGTCAAATTTGTGGCTTACTTTTAATTCATTTATTTTAATCAGAACTTAAATTTTTTTTCAGAAGATGGGACACGCATCCCTTTGTGGTTGCCAATTATGTAGCAGTACCGTTTTCGCCGTACCGGTTCCCAACCACAAAATAAATTAAAATAAGGTATTGATATATATATATATATATGAACAAATGCCTCTTCAAATAAGTAACAAAAGAATGAAGGGGGAAGGGTGTTTAAATGAAAACAAACCAAATAGGGCTCACAGGCAGCAGGTAATTGTACACCAGGGCTGCCTTGGGAGCTATGAGCATTTATGTCCACTCTGAACTATAGGTCAAAGTACTCATATTTATTCTGCAATAAACAAAGAAGACAGCAAAAGGGATCTTCCCATAAGGATAGAGATTTAGGCTGACTTTGTCTAAGGCTTGAGTTCTTCACACACTGTGCAAGCTTCAGAAGCGAGCCACCGGTGTGCGGGTATGTCCCTTTCCTTATGCCTTCCAGAGTGGGCGTTGCCACATTCTGAATGGCCAAGAGGGAATCACACAGCGGCACTCAATCCCTGCTGAATCCCTGAGCAACACTCCCTGTCCAGCAGATGCTCTGAATCATCACTAATCAACAACCAGAGTAATGGAGACTCGGCCAAACTAATGGGAAAAATAAATTAAAATAGCAGACAATACATACAGACTGCTACAAATGTCTTTCTGAAGTTTTCAAAGTATGCAATATACAGCATTTAACGGCCCCTGTCACTGTGATATTATTACTAATAAACTGAAATGTTAAAATATCAATGGAATTTTAATGTTGATGTAATTTGAACTACTGTTGTTCCACTGCTGTGCATTGTTATAGGCTATTTTTTATGTAAAATCAACAAGTATGACAGAATATGTAAGTACTCAAGTAAAGTACCTCAAAGCACCTCAAATCTGTACTTAAGCACAATAAAATATGAATTCAAAATTTTCAGGCACCCAGTTGCTTTTAGCTGTCACTGTTTTTTTTGTAGTGCAATCCCAATTGAACATCACAGTCAAGGAAGCCAAATGGACATTAGTAAGTTTATTTGTAAAATGCTTTTCATGATAATTGTACACAATGATCATATACCAGGTTTATATAAAAACTAAATCACAAAAAGTTACTTTAATACAAAAGGAAGGTGCAAATGTTCAAATAATAAAGGTACATATAAGTAAGGGTGAATAGTTAAACATGTAAAATGATTTGATGAGAGCAATTTTTATCACTGTGCAACTGAAAAGCTAATGCTTTTGGAATGTAGTAAAAAAAAAAGTAAAGTAGTGTGAAGAAAGACAGCAACACTGAACCTTCATTAATGGAGTATAAAACCTACATCACATCTTTACTGTAACTGTGTCTTAACTGACTGTAAATGCATCCCTACATTAATTGGTGATATTATATTTTTCTACTGGAACTAAACATTATTAAACCCACATTTCCAAAGCAAACATGGCAGAGAAAGACAGCGACCAGGTTCTTCAAAAACACTCCCATTACTCATAAATCCAAACTCATGAACCAAAACCATAATAATGTTAAAAGATGTGTTTGTATGGCTTTATGTTTAGGTAATGGTCCTGAATCAGATAACAAACTACATCCTCAGATCAAATAAAAAAGACAAAACAATATCTCTTCTGAAAGTAAATTTAAGAACAAGATATCTGGCCCTGCATCTTCTATCTACTCAAGCTTACAGAGTTCAGCCGCAGGTCCGTTACTTTGTGAACCGAAAACACCAAGTCCAGGACACAGTGGCTGAGTGAATGTGGTCTGGACTCTGTGGAGGAGAGTCATGGTTTCAGAGACGCTGTAGAAGGACAGAATACCTGCCATGTGATCCAGGTACACTCCTATTTTGGAGGACTGGAGGCCTGAGATAAAAGTGCCAATGCTGTTATGTCTAAATGCATAATTGTTGTTAAAACACTCTAATGTCCAAGACTTGTCGTCATTTCCAAATCCACTCTCATATCCTGTTCTGCTGATATCCTGGTATGTAACTGCTATTGAAACTTCACATCTGCTCTTCTGCACCTCCCAGTAGTGACGTCCGCTCAGACTCTCTCTACTCAGGACCTGAAACATGTCAGTAAATCTGTCTTGATTACTAGGATATAACAGTTTTTCACTTGTCACTGTTGCTTTTCTGTTCCCTTCAGATAATAGCAGCTGTCTGTGTGCTGAGTTTGGATCCAGTGTGATTTGACATGAATATTGTAAGAATTCAGCTCTGGTCTTGGGCTCTGCTTGTGGCAGGAAAACATCCACTCTGGTCTCTGTCAGTGAGATCTTGGTCCATGCCTCACTAAGAATGTCCTGTAGCTTATCTCCAGCCTCTGACACAGCTACTGTCACATCCTCAAAGTATAGCTGAGGATGGACTTTGATGCTGGGTGAGTCTGTAAATTCACAAGGACATGACAACGAGGGGTAATTGTGTAGAAACTGGATGTGGTCCTCTGTGTGTGAGAGCCGCTCCAGCTCAGCATCTTTCCTCCTTAGTTTGGACATCTCCTGCTGCAGCTTCTCCTGAAGGTCTTTGGCCCGACTCACTTCAGTTTTCTGCCGGGATCTGATCTGCTGCTTCACATCAGAACTTCTATTCCTAATAAGACGTACCAACTGAGTGAAGATCTTCTGGCTGCCCTGCACTGCTTTATCAGCAGAGTGATTGATAGCCTCCACTTCATGCTGAAGCGCCTTCACTTCTTTCTCTATGTCTTGGATTCTCTGCTGGATTCTTTGTCGACTCGTTCCGAGCTCTATCTGCCTCCCAGTCCGTTCTGCTGAGGCTAAGACAATGTTGTGGTCCTTATGCTCGTCCATGGAGCACAGATAACAGATACACTGCTGATCAGTACGGCAGAAAATCTTCATCACTTTACCATGTTGAGAGCAGATGTTCTCCTGAAGCTCTTTGGACGGGTCCACCAGCTTGTGTTTTTCAAAGGCGGGGGATTCATAGTGAGGCTGGAGGTGCTGCTCGCAGTAAGAGACCAGACACTGCAGACAGGACTTGAGAGCTTTCAGTTTTCTCCCAGTGCAGACATCACAGGCCACATCTCCAGCCCCGGCGTAGCAGTGATCCGCTGGAGCAGCTTGGAATCCTGTCTTCTTCAGCTCCTCCACTAAATCTACTAACATGGTGTTTTTCACCAGGGCAGGCCTCGGTCTGAAGGTCTGTCTGCACTGAGGACAGCTGTGGATTTCTTTGTGATCCTCTTCATCCCAGTGGCTTTTAATGCAACGCATGCAGTAGTTGTGCCCACAGGGAATAGTCACCGGATCCTTCAGTAGCTCCAGACAGATCGAACAGCAGAGTTTTTTCTGATCCATGAGTTTCTGTTGCTGCGCCATTTCACTTCGAAGAGACAGTGAATGTGAAATAGTTTCACTTTGTCATACAAGATATAAATCGGGAGCTGATCCAAACCAAAGCTTAGTTCCCTTTCTTCATGTTTGCTTGCTGAGCTGCAGTAAATGGGGCTTCCCTTTGTAACATGTAAGTTACTCCTATCCGTACGCTGGCAGATCTGTGAAAGAGGCGGGAAGTAGGAAACATCTAGACTGACTGGCTATGGTTGGTATGCAGGAAGAGGAGGGAGGGGCTATTATGCTGGGATTCATTTCAGGAAGAGAAGCTGTTTCACTGAGGCAGCATGTGTTTATACCCCCTGTTTACATGGGGTGAAGAGCACTTTGGTCTGTTCGGAGCAGCTGTGTTACATGCCTCGGTTCAAGTTCCCAATTAGTGCCTCAGACTTTAGCGCAGATCAGACACAATTTCATCAAATGTGTTTTCCACACGCTCAATTTTTATTAATTATGAACAGTGTCTTGACATCCTCATATGGAAGAAATGCTGAAAGATTTGTATTAGTAGGCATGGATTCTTTGACAGTACCGCTATGACATATTATATGTTTTATACATATGTATATGTTTTGAGTTGGTAAAAAAGATATTATGCTTTATGTATATGTCTATAGGAGAAGGCAATCTGAATAACTCAATGTGTAATGAAAGTCTAGTTAACCCATTCAAACTCATTGCCCATTATAAGTTTCTGTTGTTTTTGCTCTCGTGGAGGACTATTATACTGGATGCTGATTGACCGATCAGGTAGCAACACATCCCACTTTGTTCTTTTCTGTTTTATGAAAGGTGTGTTCCTTGCAGCCAAAGAGAAAATGTAAGGGCTGTTTTCAAATAGTTGTCTCAACTCCTGGGCCCTGGTTGGGCTTCTTTGTCGTGTCTGTGCTTGACCACCAGGTGTCCCCCTTGGCTGAATTTCCATTTAGTGCCAATTATTGCCCTCAACTGTTTTCTTCAGTCGGTTTAGTTCATTGGTTTGTCTTTGCACGGAAAGAGTTCTCTGAAAGCTCATTCTTACTCCACACCTTACTTGAGCCTGTGCCTTTTTCTGCATCCATGCCATGTTAGGAGAATAGCAAGGATGGGATAAACATGTGACTTTGTATTATTCACACATTATTGCAAGATGGCTATCCCAATTGCTAGCACTATATTCACACTCTATAAGTCAAATTGTTCCCTAAATTGCTGCTTTATCATGTTACCCCTTGGGAGAGGTTGATTAATATGATAAATCAGACATAAACAAACTGTAGAGGCAGTATAGCTCTTTTTCAATTTTAATATCCAGCAATGGTGGCTTTTATTTGTTGACACTTTTGTAGTTCTTTTCACCAAGTTGAAGATATTGTAGGCAACAGAAATTCTCCAAGTCGCCTATGGGTAGTCACAACTAGGAGGCTAATGTAAATGCTGGCAGCAAGACTACAAGTTTGGCAATGTTGCCTAACCCTACTGCATGGATTTCCATAAACATTTGTACAGAGATTCATGTTCTTCAGAAGATGAATCGTTCTTACTTTTACCTAGTGCCACCTTGAGGTTGACATTTGAGATTTTGACTGCAATGACTCCACAACTTTTGGATGATTTGAAATGTGGTACAGACATCCTATGATATTAAAGGACAGTACCCACCCCAGCCACAGCCTGTTCACCCTGATGCCTTCTAGGAAGAGACATAGAAGTTTCAGCTGCTGCATCACCAGACTGCAGAGCAGCTCCCCCCCCAAGCTATCAGACTGAAGTTCAAATTCATCCTCAACACTGCTCCACTGATTATAGTTTATTTCTGTTTACCATTTTTACAATTGCTTCTAGATGAATGGATATTGTCTGCTATGTAGCGGAAAGGAGTTACAAACTCAGTTTCACTATATATACAGTGAAAAATAAATGTACCTACCTACCTATCTACATCCATGCTCCCCTCAGGACGAATTGTAATAACTTTGGTGATCCCCTGACTTCACCTTGTTTTGAGACCAAATACGGACAAAACTAATAACATTCCCATTATCCCCTCAGCTTTAGTGCTAATTAGTCATTTTTAGCACGCTAACACCCTAAATTAAGATGGTCGGATACATACATAGATACAACATTCGACTTGTGAAATGTGTCTCACCATCTTGCAGCGGGATTCTGGCCAGTTCAGATACCGTAAACTGTTAATTAATAGCCCAGGCTTTTATTTGCTGCCTATATTTAGGACAGGTGTCTATATGGGACAGGACTTTAATTCCTTTTGCACAAAACTATCTAGGCCAACCTCAAGCACGAAGAGAGAGAGAGAGAGAGACACTATATCAGCAATCTGAATGAATAATACTGTGTTGCTCATTGTTTTTGTATATGTACTGAACGACTGAACTGTGGAGAATCTAACCGATGCACAATGTGTAGCATGTCTATATTGACAAAAATTATATTGACATTTATATTTTTATGTGCAATATAAGCAGCTTAGAACTAGCTCGAAAGGACGTCCTGGTGGGCTTTAAGAGGTTTTATACATCTAGAGAACTATAAAAACCAGACCTGGCTTCTAATTGAATCCTGCGTTTATTTGTCAAAACTTGTAACCACACCAGGCCAGTAAAAGGGACAGGCGTCTAATTGGGATTAGGCTTTTATTGAAGTTTTACAGTAGTATAAAATGTAAAAAGTAGAAAAAAACTTTGGTGCTGCTTTTGGATGTTCTAATGAAAGAAATGCCAAAAATCATGCAACAGGGAATAATTTCACACACATACAATTGAGAATTAAGAATTAAAAATAAGTAATGCTTCTTTTAAATTAACATAATCTTATGTTACTGTCCTGTTACAAAATTAAGTTTTGTACTTCCGGGTTAAGCCCATCCTGAATATGAATAGGTACATATAATTAATTTTGTTTAACAGATACAGATAGGGGTTTACTCGCTCATCCCTAGTAGCTAGGAGTGACCATGAAAAATGTGGTGCCATTTAGCTAATAGGTGGCAGTGTATCATGTAGGTAGGTATGACAGTCTCTATGTTTCCTAAATAGACCTGACAAACATGACATGCTGAATCCACTCTCATGTCTCCATGGCAACAGGTTGAGGTGGTAAAACGTAGGCTTGATATGAGCACATGCCTGATCACACACATAAACACGCACATTCAAATGTGATATCACGCAAGCATATGCCTACATGACGCACACAAACACACACACACACACGTTTGCACACAAATACATACGTACAGCACAGACCAACACATGTACACTTTTTGTCAACTATATGTTTCGCTTTTGCTATATGTCTACACTTGCTAGAAAGCTGTGTGTATGCATATTCAGGAATTAACAGCATTTACTTTGGCACCTCACGTTTGCAGAGGAGCAAGGTATCCATGACGACTAAGATGCAGCCAGTAATATTTAATTGAAAGATTAACTGGAGCCCAGTAAGCATGTATGGTTTGAAAAGAATGTTGTGAAATAAAACCGTTTATTGCATCGCTTCTTAGACTACACATTGTAGAAACAGATCTAAACTTATGCAACAGTTCTCTCACAGAAAAATTGGTAGTGTTATCTATTTTTTATTATCGTCACCAAATCCCATGAAAAGACAATAATATGTTAGTTCGTCTCTCAATACTTTGCCCTATCTGTGAACCTCAGCTCCAAGCCCATTGATTCCAACTGAAAACAAAAATCTTTGAAAAATGTGTCACAAAAATATCGTTAAAAAAAAAAATAAATCTGTGATTTCAAAGAACAGCTGATCACTGTAGGTTTTGGTAAATGTTACTCAAACACAACAAAATAGTGTATCTGAGACTTTCAGCTGCAGATTAATATACATTTGGCACTCTGATGAGTATTTCCAGCATTACAAACAATGTATGTTGGATTGAGTCAAAATAAACTATGGGGTATGTGTTCATGTGCTCTTCTGCTCTAAAAAGTTTTCTTAAAATCTATTTCTATCTATTTTCAAGGACTTGTCAAAACCGTTGGTCTAATCCAGTAACTTTGACAGGATCATCGAAAGACTTTGCTGATCTAAAGATATCATACATCAATCCTTTTTGAAATTATACATTTTTACATTTGTATCTTTAGTGGGAATGGCATATTACAAAAAATGTAAATTTTGAGACATTTCACATTCCAAACTTCAAAGAATCACCTGTATGTCCAAGAGAGTTTAAGGGATCAGCACCACTGATGTGTGAAAGAAGTTTGCCTCAATACAACTTATGATCAATTTAGAAGTCCATCACTCTAGTTTTCAAAACATGCTAAGTCAAGTATAGCTCTACAAGTCTTTGTTCAAATGCTACCAAAATTGACACAGACATTCTCTAGATCAGAGGTCACTAATAGGCGGACCACGGTCCGGATCCGGACCCAGCCGCTGTCCTCTCCGGACCGCCGACCTACAGCCCATTTATTATTGAGACTTACTACCTCGTGACGGAGTGTTTCTATTTTAACCCGCGCAGCTTTTCTAGCATTTACTGTACTGGTTTAGAGGACCAGGAAACTCACAGACCAATCGCATGTGCTCCAATCGTCTCATGTGACGCTGCTCAGCCAATCAAATCTGTGCATACCGATGCTTGCGAGTCGAGTCCGCGAGATTCACCAGAGACGTCTTGGAAACACACCCGAATTGAGGGGACGAAAGATAAAAGAGATTTCACATGACTTTTAATCAAGAATGTAGAGATTTTTACATGTACATTCCTCCCACGGGCAGTTCAAAACCAGAATATCTCATAGATCTCCAATATGCTAGCTGGAGCTCACGTTTCTCACTGAACAACAGAAAGTAGGAAAGTGGTAGCTCTGTAAGAGGAAATGAAAGAGAAGAGGAGGCATTACAGCTGTTCATTTGTTATGATTTGTTGAGTATTTATTATAAAATTGGTTAAGACTACACTTCATCACTTCAAGCTACACTTTTTATTACATGTTTTCTAAAAATTAGGTACTTTAATTTAGTTTACTTAAATTTAGAATTTATTATTTGAATAGTTATTATTTATTATCCTTCCAGTTTGGTGAATCAAATATTATTTGATTTGACAGTCCGTTGTTGACTAAAAACATGTGTTGATACAACTATAGGTTATAGTACTGAATGATAACGCAAGTTTGTCGTTTTGA